TCAGCCAGTTATACCCAATCTTGAGGGTTGGCAGCCCCGAGATTTGAACCCGGAACATTTGGTCATTGTGTTCAATAGACAACCTCTAGTCTACGGGTTCCCTGATTTGTTGGTTGGCAGCAGGATTATGATGAATGAATGTGCTTTCACCGATCGAGCAGAAGAAGAATACCCATAGCACAAAAAGTGCATTTAAGAGAGTGGATTTAAGGATTGGACGACAAATACATACTGCGAAAGAACACTTTGCCAAAACACTTTACAAATTTCATTTAAATTAAATGAGCAGGTCCTGAAAACTAAAGTGTACTACGTAATTCTTATCGAAGTTAAAAGTATACGGAGATTATGTTGACGTATATATGGTTGTGTAGGAAATGCTTTGAAAGGACTGGCGTAAACAGTGTAGATGATCCGATAATATCCATGATTTTGCTTTCTTACTGCGGTGAACTGTGCCCAACGTTATTCAAGCTAGACAAAATTGCTTATTTTTCCTCCTGGTTTACACCCAAGTGTCATCTGACACATAATTACGTGTTTATACACATTACGCGAGGCTCTAAAGCGACCCGAATATACAAAACCAACTCTACGCGGACATCAGAAAAGTGTTTTTTTTTTAAATATTTACATAAATGCTAAATCTAGTCATCAGATGATAAGCACATGGCCCCAAAATCGACTTAAACACAATTTTATTCATATAGTGGATATCCCTATCCTCTTGCTTCTTAATTTTCTATAGTGTATGATAATTTTAATCTAGTTGTCTCGAGCAGGTGTATATCCTCCATGTGAGTATGCTTTCATTTTACTAAGCAGTGGATCAACAGCTGCTCAATGCGATGTCATACGCTTCTGGTTAATTATTCAAATGAAATTAGATCGAGAATAATAAGTAAATAAAAAACATATTTTTTGATACACGATGGTATTTTATTGGCCTCATAGACAATTGTAGCATGAAACTTGTCAGGGCCTTTTATTTTGAATAGCAGCGAGTACAATTACTATGTTACTTCTGAACTGATTAAAAATGGCAACACCAGAGTCTGTCAGTAGACTTTTATTGAGCAGAATAACTTACCGCTCGTAGTGATGCCCGCATTTGTTGATTCTGGCGTCGTTCTAGGAGTTGTCCTTGCATCTATAGAAAATGTGGGATACATTTTCGAGGAATGCGCACATTGCTATTTTGAGGGAAGCAAACAATAAATCATTCCATGTATGTCCATTATTTCGGGGCCAAAAGGTGCCCTCATCTTCAGTGGATAGGCTATGCAATGAAGAAGGAGTGAGTCGCTTAGCAGCTATTCTTTATCCACTGCACAGCCCTAACTAAGTGACGAAAGTGTCAAACCAGTGGTCATTGACCACACTGACAATTCTGACAACGTCTTACTACTACTGTGTTCAGAAAAAATAAATCATTACTGTGAACTCTAAACTGAACACTAGGAACCTCACATACTGTGCTATTGCCGTTGCGTTTGTGCATTGAATGTAGGCCCGAGTACCATGACTTGAGCTGTTCGAAACTAACGCTGTTGTCTCCTTATTAAGGAAATGCACCGGAGTATTTGAGATAGATCGTGACGTGAATGGCCGAACATGCAACAGAGGTGAGGGAGGTCGACACTAATTCTCAGATAGCAGCTAACTCGATGGCACGCTGCCATATTTTCAAGCTCAAGGACACTTAAATACCCGCAAAAGGAGATACCCGCGTGAGCTTTGAGCTGCATGAGTCAGGCCTCTCTGGCCCACATTCAAGCTACGAGCGCATCGAAATGTTTTTCAATACCCCGTACGTACACATCGTTTGAGGAGGAGAATCAGTCAACTGGGAGCGAGCTGGCCCAGCAGCATCTCCGACGACGGCCAAAATTATTGACTTGCAAGTATCAACCCGCGACCAGCACGCAAAACAAAATCGTGGCATATACGGACTCGAAAGAGTCCTGCTAAGCGTACTGCAGCAATATCGACACTATCGGTGGTTAAGGGAACGGATAATTATAACGTGTATGCGGGTGACCGCTGTCAATTATAACTGTGGCGCAATGTTTTCTTATATTACACTGCGCTGTGCAGATAACGAACTCACAAAACGTGACCTCTGATAAAGGGTTATCAATAGAATCCGAAACGTCAAATAAATAAATCTTGTATTCCAGCGGTCGCATTTTCTACCTCTGAATGTACTCTTCCTAGCAATAATCAAGTTAATACATATCTGCTACATTTTACTACGTAAACACGAGCAAACTATAGTCCGTTAGTAGCCTCCCGTTGAGCAGTCTAACTTACCGCTGATAGTGCTGTCGCTTGTTGTTGATTCCGACATCATTTGTGGAGTCATGGTGGCTTTAATGAAAAATGCGGGGAATAAGAGTGATGACAGGAAAAATTGGAACGTGAATTTGTCAGTTTTAGATTCTTGACTTTTCATTTAAGTTCATTTTCATTGGGACTGCCTTTAGCCGGCCGCTATCTAAACAACTTGAAGTCAACCTGCTGCTGACTCACGACACGTGCGCTGCAACATAAACTGCAGCCTTGCAAACCACGTCAAAACTCATTCTTCGCTATTCATTAACGAAAAACGCAGGGCCATTCAGTTTCTCACTTGGTATAACTTCAAAATACACAAAAATGCTTTCTTACTCCTTTCATTCTCAACGTTTTTTTTTCAGCAAGCAGTTCGGAAATGGAAGATGCGGTCACTCGATCAAGAGGTGTACTTGTTCGAAGTCTCGAGAACTAAAAATGACTAGCACCACAGGATTTGAGCTTGTGGAGGCGTATTGTGACTAGCACAACTCGAAGTGCACTTTTGAAAAGCTTGCTGCTTTTCGGTCCCTGTTTTAACCCATAACAGGACGATTCACACATTTTACTGCCAACAGAAGCGAACAGACAGGTTCCAGGAAAAAGTTGAGAACTAGAATATGCGATCGCTGGAACTAGAAGTTTATTTGTCTGACGTTTCGGATACTTCAAGGAACCGCTAATCAGCTGTAACCGTGGAGGAGTGTGACACATGCACACATATTGCGCAGTATCTATATTTCTTAGCGGCAA